TGAATTCCATTGTCTCTTTATCACCAATTTGCTTTCACCATTAGTACAGATTCTTGTGGAAAGTGTTAGCATGGATTAAAATTTATTCATTTGAACTGCCTTAACTCCTAATTTCATGTGTGACAGTTCCAATTGTTTTATGTTAGAGGGCATATTTGGAATTTTGAAAAAGTATTGTGGTGCTGTTATAAAATGACTGCAGTGTGGGAGAGCCCATTCATGATTATAATGATTTTCTAAAATCTCATCCCCAAAAGGCAAAATAGTGTGCATAAAAGATAAATAATTATTTAAATCCTGAATAAAATATCCATAATATGTCAAAGGTTTATAAAGCAAATCTTGAATTCACAATTTTTGAATCCAGTAAAACTCCAATAATCTATTTCATTTTGCCAGTTATGTGACCTTGAATCGTGAAAAACCAAGTGGGGAGAGACTTCCTTAGTTCTCGGCAGGAAGCTACCCAAACCCTCTCTGGATTTTTTTCCCTTTTACTCCCAACATACAGCACTATTTCATTAATATAGTTTATGATATCTCTTTAAAAAATACATTTCCCATGTTGTCATGCATATTCAAAGTACACGTTCCTTAGAAGTACTTTTTGTTTCACCTTTACTTTCTATTCCCCTTTGATCCTACTACTATCCCTAAGTCTTCTTCCTATGGCTGAGCCATCTGCAGCCTGCATCCACCACTTTTTTAAGGCCTTCAAAATCTCCTGTCCATCATTGCCAAAAAGTAGCAGTATTTTGGTTAAGAACAAATAAAAATTATACCATGCATCCTAAAACAGGCTTATTTTAAAATAACAGCCAAGTATTTTAAAATGCAGAAAAAAATGGAACATCCCAATGCTACCCATGTATGGATTCCTCTACTTTGCATCATGTTTATTTATTTATTTTGTATCTTGCCTTAATTTTTACAAATAACTCAGGGTGGTGAACATATCCAATATATCATCCGTCTCCTATTTTCCCCACAACAACAAACCTGTGAAGTGGGTTCCATCCAATTTGGCTCTTAGCCCAGCCAAAAATGTTCCTCACCTACAATGTGAGGTGCTAGCTAATGAAGATTAAGGATACTAAAGAAATGGTAATTTGCAATTTTTCTTGACTAGTTGCTTACATAAGGCAAATTTTCAAAATAGAACTATTGAGGCAGGTTCATTTCTGCTGGTCACTGCTTCTTACCTCCATTACTGAGTTCCTCTTCTGGATTAAAAAATATATTGTCTGAGGGAATGAAGAATGGAACCCCACTTTTTATATCCAATTATACACATGTGTGGAATAATCTATAAATTAGGTGACTTTTACTTATTTTTCCCTCAAGTCATAAGTTTCTCCTAACGCTGGTAATATATAATTACTGTCTTAAGTTGAATGTCAAATAAAAGGAAACAAATTTTCCTGATTTTGTTACCATCAAGAACTGGCTGATGAAGGAAGTTGTTTTGCTCAAATGTAAACATGATTTTTTTTTTTAAATATTCAAGTTTATGTTCATTCAGTACTGTCCAGTTTTTAAAAGAGAAATGTAATATAATAAGCAGAAACTGGGGGATATATCTTACTAGATTGGAAAGCAGGGAGGCCTATGAAAGGATAACTGTAGACTTTTATCTTCAAGGTGTTGTGGGATTTAAATGGTGTACAGGAAAAACATGCTCATTTAGGTTTCATGAAATAAAAACACAGTTTTTGCCACAAAGGAGAATTGTCCTGTATACAGTATTGAAGTGATAATAATCAGTTGTTGGCTTAACTTCCTATATATCAGTCTGATGCAAATCCAAATAAAAAAAGAGAGATAGTAATACTCTTTTTTTGTTTATAAAAACTTAAGTGAAGGCTCAACTTTGTAATACTTTGAATAACCCCCTTTTTTTTTTTACTAATCCCATATTGCTTTTGGAGAACTGAGCCTGAAAGATGCCTAACAATTTTGCCATCAATTTCACATAACCAAACTTCCACTTCTCTTGTTCCAGAGACTCAGATCTGTACTGAACAATATACAGGCTAAATATGCTACAGGACGAGAGAATAACCAGTTTAGGCATTCTTCATATCATTAGAGGTGGCAAAATTTTGAGTTTCCCAATAGAATCCTCTGTCCTCTTTCCCCCACCATTCTCAAGAGGATGGACTCTGGAAAGTGAATTTTTTGTCAGTTGTGAAGATGTGGCAAATGGCTGAATTTGTTACATTCTAACCTGAGAGCATGAGACAATTGATTTGTATGGTGTATTTCCTCTACAGAATCCGTGGAGTAAACCAAGTGTCAGATCCACCATCACCTGATGCGGCTTTTCCTCTTAATTGTTGATGGACTTGCTATTTTTGTGCCAAGAGTAGGAACCCTAACTTGCCGACTGAATCCACGACAAAGGAATTCTTTTAACTTGGCGCTTTCTGGTTTGTATACCAACTGTTATGCTGTAGCAGCTTTCATAGAAGGGTTATAGCCATATCATATTTATTTCAGAGAACAAAGACAGATGTTCTAAACCCCAATTCAGAATTTTCCATCAAACATGTCATTAACTTCCACTCTCAAATTTTTGACAATGCAGTAATGAAGTTAGGGCTGTTTTCTTGTGGACAGAACTCTTCTTTCTGATTTCCAAAATTGGAATGGTAAGATCTCTTGTACAAGAAATCCATATATAATAATGCCCTGTCCCACATAAGTGGAAAGGCAGGATTATGTATTAAAAAACACTTTAGGATTGTCAGTGTAAAGTGGCATTATGAATACTGGTATCGTGTTTCCCCCAAAATAAGACCCAGTCTTATATTTTTTGAGGGCTCCAAAATAAGCATTAGGGCTTATTTTCAGGGAAACAGGTTATCAAGGGGATCAGCCTGGCTGAGTGCCCCACCCCCCCAGCACACTCACAAGAGGCAATGAGGGCAAGTGGGATGACGATGTCCAGCAGCAGTTGCAGTGCACCAGCCCTTGGCGCACTTGGGCTGCATGGCGCAGGGGAATTGATTACCTGTCCAAGAAGCAGGCAGAGGCAAAGGGGGGGAGGCGGGCCGCCCAACCACGGGAGGCTTATCTTCAAATGGCAGCACCGGCAGCAAATAGAGGCGCGGGGCGAATCAGATCCTGCTGCAGGAAAGCCAAGACAGGGATGGAGTGGGCAAGCGGCTGCGGGAGGCTCATCTTTGCATCTCTTGGCTTGCCTGTGCCCTGCGCAGTGGGACCTGTTGCTTTCTCCAGCACCCACTGTGCTGCGGGATGCGGCGGGAATCCCTGCCCTGCCTCCATCTGATGCTGGTGCTGCCTGCGAAGATGTCTTACGCGGCCAATCACCCATTCCGACCAGACTCAGCTTTCCCATGGTCCACACAGCATGTCTGGACCGCCTGCTTCCCCCCACCTCTGCCTCTTGTCTGCTGCCTGTGCCGCTGCATGAAGGCGAGCCTCCTGCAACCCCACCTTAGCTTTCCCGTGGCCTGCACAGTGCATCTGGATTGCCTGCCTTTCCCCCCTGCATCTCTGCTTCTGTCTGCTGCTGGTGCTGCCATGTGGAGATGAGCTGCCCATCCACCCTGGTCCACCTACTGTCGGCTTTCCTGCGACCTGTGCAGAGCATCTGGATCGCCTGTCTTCCCCCACTTCTGCCTTTATCTGCTGCTTGGAAAGATAATCATCTCACCTGTGCTTCTCAGGTTACACAGCACCAGTGCATCCTCGCTGCCTCCGGTGCTGGCCATGGCCCCCCAGCTGATGACCTTAACTAGGGCTTATTTTTGGTTAAGGCTTATATTAGGAGCACACTTAACAAATCAGGCTAGGGCTTATTTTTTGCTTAGGTCTTATTTTCAGGGAAACACAGCAATTTTCAATAATCTGTTTAGTGACCTTGAAGTTACAATAGCACTGAAATAGTGACTGGTTTCACGTTTATGAATGGCATTGCACTATCCCCGTGGTCATGTGATCAAAATTCAGACACTTGACAACTTACTCATTTATAATGGGTGTGGTGTCCTGGGGTCATGTAGTGTCTTTTGAGACCTTCTGACAAGCAAAGTCAATGGGGAAGCCAGATTCACTTCACAACCGTGTTACTAACTTAACAACTGCAGTGATTCACTTAACAATTGTAAAAATAAACTCAGTTACCAAATGTTATGCTTAGCAACACAAATTTGGGACTCAATTATGACCATAAGTCAATGACTACCTATATTTACTGCATCAAAATAAAAGCTTATGAGGCTTCCCAAGTAAAGGTCAATTTCTACATCAGAAATTGATCCAAGTAACATTCTCATTTATTTTTTATTAAATCATCTATTTACGGGTAGCTATAAATTAAGAATGGTATATTTGTTCAGTTTATTTCACAGCAAAAGTTTGTACAATTCTTCATAAACAGGAAGAAAAATGCTCAAGGTTTAAGAACATGAATGAAAAAAAGCAAAACTGACAAGTTCAGTGACAGAATTTTGGTTACTTAGCTTGTAGATCATTTTGAATCCCTGTTGAATTCATGTGGTAAAAATAGATGGGAGTTTTATTTGTTTTTAATTAGTTTTAGTCTTAATCTTCTAAATTTGCAGAGTTTTTCTAAAGAATTAAATCATTTTTTGAAATAAATCTGAATGCAGGACCATCCTTATCTGGCCATCCTAATTTCATAGGCACCTGGAAAAAACTTGAAACAATTATTATTGTATTGGTGAATAGGTTTTAAATATTAAAATAATGAAGTCTACATGTATATGCGTAGATATAGATATTTCTGTCTTAAATACATTCCAAGGTACAAATATTCTCCACTTGTAAAAAATCAGCCAGGAAAACAGAAAGACTTATCTAAGTCAACTATTGTCAAAACTATTTCCGCTGTAAGTATACAGGTGATTTAAAGATCTATATAGAGCCAGGGCCAACTGAAAACCCTCACTAACTATGGCCCCATTCTGACATCCTTGCTCTAGAAAATAGAACAAAGCCATTACATTCTTGTACAAGTACAGCATTTATATCTTTATGACAAATTATTGATGGCACTAGCTGGATACAATGAAAACATAGTGTTGCATAGCTGCTCCAATGTACAATTGCGTATTCTTCGTACGTCCACAGTAGATCTCTGCAGTCCAATCCAAATACGTTCAGAGACTCACATGCACTTACTTTATGAGAAGGGTCGCTTTAAAATTTAGGATAGTAGAATTGCTTGAACAGTGTTATTCATGTACCGAATAGAAAAACAAATTTATTTATTTCTGATACAAGGGTTTTTTAAATGCACAGTACTTTAATTACCCCATAGCTAATGTGTATAGCAGCAATAACCATGGGTCAATTTGTTATTCAGAACACTTTGCATTCTCAATGCGGTTAGAAGCAATATCTCTGCAATTAATGTATAGTTACAACAAATTTTGGAAAGAAGGGGAACACTGTATTAATTGCCAGTCTAGAGATTTTGTAAAATGCACAGAAGCTGAATGCTGTATCATTTCTCCTTTGCATTAAATTAATGCTGATCATTTTCTGTTGGCACAGTCTGTTCTTCATTTGGGCTGTGTTTATTCTTAAGGGATCTTCCAACATATCCCCAGTATTCTTTCCGTATAATGTCTTTTTCCTTAGCGAGGATTTCACACAACTACAAAAAGGAAAATTATAGTTTTACTTATATTTATATTCCCTTCAGTATTCACAATTTTTTTGCAGAATAATGAGAGGAAGGGAGGGAGGGCAGGCTTTATGGAGATCTTACAGTAAAGCAGGAGACGCTACTATAAATTATGCAGTAATTAAAATTTAGATATGGTATATTATACAGTAAATTAAATCAGCAGGAGTAAAGGACAAAGCCAGTGAATTGGGTTACAGTATTCAGTCTGAATTCTTCATTATTAAATACTTAACTGTCTTATTCCAGGCTCCTTTTAGTTCAGTCCCCGAAACTTCGTATAATGCTTATAATAATACATTAAACCAGTTTAATTGATTTGGGTGAACAAAATAAAATATCCACTATGTTGTTTGAAATATAATTGGATCACTTAGGTACCAATCTTATGCCAGAAGATGGCAATTTTTAACTACATAGCTAAAGTGAGAAGAGTTATAAATACTCATCATCTTATTTAGCACTGCCACTATCAAAACCTGCACATAACTTTATAATAGCATATCCAAATCAGCTTCAGTTGCAATGAATATTCCCCCTCTCTATTTTCATCTATGTTCATTTCCCTTCCATTTTCTTGTTCTCCACGTATTTAGCTTATAAACACTTTTTAAGTCAGGAATATGTTTTCTAAAAATGTTGATAGCACTGTTCAAGTAAGTTTTGAGATTGAAAATATAATGATCTATCAAGCTTTTTAGAACACAGTACTTTCTTCAGATAATTCAGCAAATTAGTCTGATTTTTAAATAAATTATAACATCAGGCCGCTTAATGAACATTAAATAAAATACAGCTTTCTAACACAGCAACCAGTTGAAAGACAATCTTTCTCATCCTATGTGTTGGCAAGTTGAAGCAAATGGTAACTATTTCTGATACCAGAAATTACTTTTGAAATGGAACTAAGTTGCTTCTTGAAGTGAAATAATACATGGAAAAGAAGAGTTTATAACGTAAGACCCCTAAGGTGAAATGATTAATGAATTTTTATACTTGACATAAAACACCATGGTAACTGGCATGTATGAAACCAACAACAATAAAAGTATAACACATTACATGAATGAGCTTGTCATTTTCTTCATCCTTTTGCAGATTTACAGTACTTCTCACTATGATTCAGTGAGCAAGAAACTTTGGATATATAATGTAGTGCTTGAACAATGGGAAATATGTAAATGAAAAGACTAAAATTTAGATTAAATTATAATGTAAAAGAAAATTTTTATAAGATGATTATTGTTAATATTTAACACCAGACAAGTTGTCAAGAAGGTATAAAGATAAGTCAAATGAATGTTGCAACTGCAAATGTAGAGAAGGGACTTTTTATTATCTATGGTGGACATGTGATAAAGCAAAGAAATATTGAAGTAGGATTCATATTCTAATACAGAAGATCCTTTAAGTGAATATAAAGATAAAACCAGAGACTTTTCTTTTGGGTTTAAAAGAAAAAGGTTTGGGGGGGGGGGATTGAGACTTTGATGTTATATATGTTGATAGGAGAAAAATTACTTTATATACAAAAATGGAAGGACACTTTGATTCCAACAATGGATGAATGGCTGCAAAACTGGATGGGAGTTAGCAGACATAGTCAAATTGACTGCTCTGATTAAAGAAAATAACACATTTAACTTTGTTTCTACTTGGAAACCACTTTTGGACTTTGTGCTTGAGGTGAAAAAAAACCTTTGTTTTTCCCCCCTTTCCTCCCTTATTTGCCATTATTTTCTTTTGTATTTTATATTTGAATAAATTAAAAAAAATGAATTGTGAAAAAAGAGATTTACTATAACTTCTGTTAAGGACTCCAGGCTGGGGATGGCTACTGTAAAGAACTTTAATCTTTAAAGAACTAACCTCTAATGCTTTGCTGAGAGTTTCTTCCTTATTTTCACACTGGTTTTCTAACATGTCTTCATATATGTCCACCAAGAAGGCAATTAGATACGGGGAATTATGACTTGGCTGCAATTCCAGTAGCTGTTCGAGCAGATCTGGATATTTTGAAAGGCCACGATCTTGCAAAATCCTGAAACGAAAACGTCTGATGAACATCATATTAAATTTCAATCACCTTGCCATTTTTTTTAAAAAATGTAAACATTCTAGGAACATAGAGATCCTAGCTCCAGTCTCGTGTTCTGCTTGCTCATCTTAATAGCAACAGAAGGAAGAACACAAGGATGTAATCAAGCAGGGAGGTATTTGGTGTTTCAATTAAAATGAAGCAGCTGTGCTTTTCCCTCATACTTCATTCAACTCTCAAAACAAACCTTATCTTTCCCCATAGATAGAACAACTTCTGCCCACTTGCTGCAATTTCTGGGGGATGCATTAGGTGATGAAATGTGATCTTTTAATGGAAGCACCATTAAATCCAGGGCCTAAAATTAGCCAGCTATATTATTGCAGTATTTTAAGCATTAAAACAATTTATACTACTATAGTTTGGCTATGGAAAGGATACCACCTACCCAATATAAAAAAGCAAAGCATTTTTTTACTATGAAAAAGCAAAAAGTTGTGGTTTGGTATTAATGCTTTATTTTACTGCAACAGAGGGAGTAGGAAGTCAGCGCTTTTTTTTTCTTTTTCCCAGCCCTTCCTCACTTCTCCCTTTTTTTCCCCACTGCCTCCCTATTTACTTTTGTATTATGTATCTTATCTTATAACCTAATAAAATAGTATTTTCAAAAAGCAAGTCATTTTTAAAAATCATGTTCTGTGCTGTTAGCTGGTTGAACATTTATTTTTATTTATCGTGCAATTTACATCCCACCTTGATTTTGTACTCAAGGTGATATTGTTCTCGCCTCCTATTTTTGCCACAATAACTTCCCTATGAGTTGGGTTAAGCTGAGAGTGAATGACTGGCTGAAAGTCATTCAGGTGACTTCCCTGCCTAAAGGAGGATTAGAACTCATGGTCTCCCACTTTCTAGATCAGCACCTTAACCAGTACTCTAAGCTGCTACAACTTGTTTTGTAAGCTTCTTTTACTGGAACTGTTAGCAGTACATTTTCTGAATAAGTGTATTTATAATTTCTCCTATGGAAAGCCCCTCTCAGGCAGAACAAATAGAGTCCTATGTATGGTTCCAGAAAATCCCAGGGAAGGAAACTATTATAAAAATCAAATACTAAAACAACATTTTCGAAGTGTTTCTTTCTGGATTTGCTAGTCTTCAGAGAGGACAAGAAATTTGCTTCTCCTCTTTCCATCAAAATACATTTTGCTTTGGTGAAACAAAATAGTGGCTTCTATGGCTTCTGCTTGGCCACATACTTTTAAGCATTTTTTTTACAATCAAAAAAGGTGAAAAAAAACTTAATAACAATATTGAAGCAGTAATATTCTTATCTGAATCCTGGGCTGGTATTAAACTCTAACCTTCTTTATGTGCATTAAATTCGCAACATACAGCGGCATTAAGCATGTTAAGTAAAACAATCTCACCCTCTCAGGTAGTTCCAGGCACTTTCATTATGAGGTACCAGTTTGATCATTTCTAGAGTGTACCTGAAAAGGAAAAACAAACTGGATAAGGAAACTATGGAATAACCATATATATGTCAAGATAGCATAAATCCTGAATGGCAAATACAGACGCATCAAGCTATTGAGTGAAACACTGGTTTTGTTTATGAATATTAGACAAAATATTCTAAGTTTACAACAGAAATCCAGAGAATTTTGCACATGCTTCAGTGAGTCTCTCATCTTGTGGTTACCTTAAAAACATTCTCCAATTTATGGAGATTTGAAGGCTGCTTTAGCAAATAGGCACATTTCCATCCCTACTGTCTTGGGCTGGACATAATTTAATATTTTTGAAACAATATCTGGATAATTTTAACCCAGATAGCTCTCAGCATGGATTACTGTATTATTACAACACAAAAGAAAAAAGGGCTTATTTTAAATTCACCTAGTTCCTTATCATGGAAATGTTTTAAGGTTTATTCCACTAATGCAATAATCCATAGGGCTGTTCTGTTCCATACTTTGGACAGTTTTTGTTTCAGAGTTACTCCTTCTGATAGATATTTTACAAATCAAAGCATTTCCTATATAGATAAAGGCAGGGGTGGGATTCAAATTTTTTAACAACTGGTTCTGTGAGCGTGGCTTAGGTGGTGGGCATGGCTTGGTGGTCATGTGACTGGGTGGACATGGCTTGGTGGTCATGTTATTGGCTGGGTGTGGCCAACTCAACATCACTCACATCGAGGCACGCATCTCCTCGACTGGCCTCATGACTGTGGGGATGTTGCCACAGTCGTAAGTGTGAAAAATGATCATCAGTCACTTTTTTCAGTGCCATTGTAACTTTGAATGGTCACTCCACACAGGCAAAGTACCAGCAAAGAAGGGGGGAAAAACTCCAGAGATGTTCCTGAGACAGGAAGTCTAGTCCTGCCAAGAATGTAATAAGGGTTAACGGAGAGGCAGTTTCTGTAAGCAACACCAGAATGTTTCCTTCCTGCCTTCCTTACAGGATTAGGCCAGTAATTTCTTCTAACAACCAGTTCTCCGAACTACTTAGAATGTTAACAACCGGTTCTAGCGAATAGGTGTGAACTGGTAGAATCCCACCCCTGGATAAAGGAGAGATGAACTATAGATCAAGTAGATTTATATCACAAGTTACATAATGCTCAATTTTCCAATTTTTTAAACAAAAAATTTAAGTCATTTTTATCATATGAAGTTTATGTTGCAAGTACCAAGTTCTCCATCATACCACTCTATCTTCCCAGTTGTTTCCATTTCTTTCCAATTCCATGAGCTTAATTGGCCTCTTTTAGGAGTACTTTCCAACAATAGGGATTTTCTTACAATATATTTTGTAGTCTACTTTTGGATTACCTCTCTTTTTGGATGTGGCTATATCAAGTTATAACTGGAAAACTAAGGTGGCCATAACTCCAAACTACAGTACACAATGCTTAAGTTAGCAAAAGGATTCTAAAAGTCCACTGAGAACATGTGTACAAAATTATCCATAAAATACACTGCATGTATACTTGGACACCCTTATATTCATTCATGGCACAAGATAAAACCAACTAAAACATTACATACTGAATTTCCCTTTCTAGAATAGCAGGATCATTGTAACCAGATGTGTTTGAAATCACAAAGTATCTTTGGTTCCAGGCGGAATTATTTCTGACATCTTCTTTCAAAAGTTGCTCAACATACTCCAATTCATCATCCCATAGCTTAAATTCCTAAACATACAAAATTGAAGGAAACACAAAGATGTTGCATCAAGAAAATTATCTCATTTCCATTCGTTCTAACCTTAACTGATACAACTGTAGATTTAAGAGTCCATTCTCACACAATTCTCACACAATTGTAGCAATTATAGAAACAACAACATGATTAACTTGGTGCCATATCAGAGATGTGAAAACCAAATAAACAATACCCTAAATATCAGATATTTATTATATTACCTTGTATACCATTTATAGGGAAAAGTATTATAGATCTGAACTAACAACCTGATCTGTCTGAAGCACATTAATGCAATTATCAAAACATACAAAATCACTTCCCCAATATTCTGTTATAAATGACATAATGGGAGTCAGGCAGCATCCATAGACATCTCTTCACTTTCTCAGCAGATAAATGAACAACTGAAGTTTGTTCCTTTTTGGGGGGGAAATAAAGCAAAACAAAAACTTCAACTTTCCCTTTCATACATTTCCTGCTCAGATTAACAATGAGCAATTGTTAATAACAGCCACAGGAAAATACCTGAATGACCCATTGTCTGTGTTGCCAAGCATGGTAATTCTTGGCATCCTGGTTCAGAATGTTTGCAATAAATTCGAGTTCTTGTGATGGGTCCTTCAACCACTCTACCAAAACTCGTCGGTGATGCCTAAAAAAAAGTCAAGAATGTTAAAGAACAGTAGTTAGCACGTGTTTTGTAATGGCAATCTGGTTGCTTGGGCAACCTGTTCATACTCACAGCCATTTGCCAAGCACGTCAACCACGTGATCACCATTTGCAGTCTTTTCTGCTTAGCTTCCCCTGAAAGTCAATGGCAAAGGCAGCAGAGAAGGTTGCAAGCTTTTACTGCCTGGCCAAGAAGACTCCCTCTCATCTCGAGGAGCTGGCTGAAAGAACTCCCTGCCAAGCTCCATGCAAGGAGGCACAAAGGATTTCAGTTCCATGCAAGCAGGCATAGAGCTGAAATCCTTTGGCAGGGAGCTAGCTCTTTTGGCGTCCCTAGAGATGAGAGGGAACCAAAATTCAAGGAGAATTTTCAGCCCTGAATGGAGAGCTAGCATGATAGCATAAGGAGAGCCTGGGGCCTCAGGGTTGGAGGCTGGCACAGGCCACACATGAGTGTCTCCTTGGCTCAGGAGCTAAAAACCCTGCTTTGATTTTGGCAGGGAAGACTTTCAACTCCTGAACAGAAAGGCACTTGTGCAGCCTGCGTCAGCCCTGCCGGGGTCCCCCCATCCCTCTGAGACACCCCATGCTCCTTACTTGGGACTCTTATCCCTTTAACAACCCTCAAATCCCTTCAGGATCACAACTGGGAGTGGAGAGGTTGTGGTCATTGAACAAAGCAATCACACAACATCTTGCTTGACCAACCACTTTGCTCAATGACTGAAATTCCAGTTCCAAATAAGGTACCGGTAATAAGTTGAGGACTACCTGTAATCTCTTATTATGGGAATGCTCCTGCCAGAAAAAAAACAAATATAGGAGAGAGATTTGCATGAGATGCTGAGCCTGGTTATTTTAAAGCTTAAATCGGATGTGTACATTAGTGTAGGATTTTTTTAAATTTATTTTTTTCTCTCAGGATTCCTTCCCACTTTTAAAAGATTTTGTTTGTATGAGTTATATTTTATACTGATTCTCATGGTTGGTTGGTGGGATTTTAATACTGTCTTATTTTTCAACATCAGCTGGAAAATCAATTTGATTTTGCATTCCTCTAGGAGTATCCTGGGAACTTAGCACCACACTTCGAGAAATGCTGTATTTGTGGGTTAGACAAACTTAGTTTATTTCAATGGTTTATGATCAAGTGTTCTGTGCCAACCCCAAAAATTATTTTGTTCACTAACCAGATAAACTGAATTGTGTGAATAAAGAAGACTGTTAGCTCAGCAGAGGTTGAGTTCTGATAACATTTGGCAACGTGACCTGCATACATCCATCAGAAAATCTGTTTTAATTAACACGGGATGTAAGAAACTTTCCCTTGTAATGATAGCTTTACAACAGCTCTTTCACTTGCCCAAACTATCATTTGATGCCTCAAAAATGCCTACAAACATATACCATACCCATTAAAATGGCCTCTTCAGTTGATAGTCATTTGGCTTATAAAACCTGTTGCACAAGAAGCGTGACAATGGTGCACAAGAAAGAACACCCAAGCATATAAAAAATACAAAGACAAATTATCCAAAAAAATATATAGCAGTAGAATCACTGAACTGTTGTGGATCCCCTGCTGTATTTTTCTCCTTGGCAGATGCAGCCCCTGCAACTTAGATGAGTCTGTGCTTTGTTTAGACACCCCTGTTTTGCTCCAGCAGTAATCGAGATACATTATTTCCATCACATTGTTCCAGCACAATATATAAAGCATAGCCAATATAATCATATCTTGTTTTTTTTCTTTTAAAAGAACCAAGGGAGCATTTTCTCAGATTATTATCTCCATCAATATCATTGTACGACAAAATCCGCAGCTTAAAGAACTCTTACTATAACTTTCTGTTGAACTTCTGCTTAAGAGTCTCTGTGGTAACAATTCTGCACTACGCATTCAGAGGAAAAACACAAGGAATCAAATATTTACATAGATATGAAATAACGTTTGTTAACCAAGAAGCTAAGCTTACCAGACTTGGTAATTCTTTGGCTGATCTTCAATGATAGCAGTGATGTAATTGAGTTCCTCATTTAAGTCTTTCTTCAAGGACTGCAGAAGTACCCTACGGAAATGCCTACAGGGAAAAAAGGGGGGCAGGAATTCTTGATACTGACTTCAGCTGCTTCTACTACTGTCAGTACTTCAAAATTTATCATTTCCAAATAAATAATAGTTCTTCATGGGAATTTTTTTTCTTTGAGAATCAGACTCCCAAATCTGTAAGATGGGAAGGTGACTACATTTGCTACATTTCATTTTGGCCCATCAGTTCTAGTTGAACTCCCCAAATTATCAACTCGAACCCACAATGGTTAGGAATGACAGAAGCTGCAGTCTGACAGTGATGAATTTCTGCTATAGTTAATTGTAATACACTTCCTAGATATGCTCTTTAACTTGAAAAATAAACTGTGTCCAATCAGTAAGAACGGGAGCCACAAATAAATATACCGTATATACTC